CAAGGTTCCAGGTAGAGCTTCAATATGCAACAAGAAGAAATGGAGTGAGACTAAACATTTTTTAATTGGTCTTAAACTTTTGTTTAGTAATGTTTAAAGAACAATAAAACTGTTGAACTGTTTACAGCCAACAGGTGGAAAAAAGTCACAGAGTAAAATTGTGTTTTAGAAAACAAATTTCACAACACAAAGACTTTAGACCTTCCTGGCGTTGACACACAGAGGTCAGAGGGATCTTCCAGGAGTGGCGATGCTGGTCGTTTAATTTCAAACCTGTTGCTCTGGAGCGAGTTATCTAGATAAGACGAAATCCTGAGTACTGGCCTCAGGTGTCTGCCACCATGTTTCAAACTGGTTTTAAAATCTATTTCTTTCATTATTCTGAACTGGTTCTAGACTGGGACAGTTGCTGTGAATTTATAGATCAAAGTTTAGTCCAGTTGTACAAAAATGTTTCCTACAAGCTAAATATTCTCCAGCCCAAAGTCAAGAGTGCTGCGGCTGACCTAAAAACCAAAGAAATCTCATGGGGCCCATCCAATCTTAACCTTCACTCTAACCAAAATACAAGAGAAAGTGAAAGTGATGTATTTCACTGAAAATTGCATTTAAAAACAAACCACACATGCTGTTGGCTATAAAATACTAAAACTACTCAGTCATAAGTGTTACCAGGTGAGACATGAGTAATATCACCAACAACTACCATACTGCCTGTAAATACATTTATATAAATATGTTACTGTACATACTCGAGTAATGCCAAAAGTTGAAGTCTTTGAATGTCAGGAAAATAAATCTGTTTGATCAAATACAAACAGGTGAAGTTTTATATTTTAAGACCTACTGCTCTCTTATTTAAACGTCAGTTTTATATCATCACATTAAAGGTACTTTTTTCTTTTCTTTACACATTTACAGAGTTTTAGCACTTTTTGTCGTCTTTGGTCATTCGCAGTGTTTGCCGGTTATTCTGAGCTTTCACTGGCTGTGGGTTCAACCTCGGGCCTGTCAGTGACTTTTAGAGGCTTGAAAAGTGAAGCACAAAAGGGTTGATCTGCTTTTCATCTGACCAAGCCTTCACCTGCTGTGAAAGGAAGTAAAAAGCCTACTCACTGAGTTATCAAGGAAAAGAAATACTGAAATCCTCTTGACGTTTTCCCTTTTTTTTTTTAGGTGGAATAAAGAAAAAAGCGTGTGGTAGCTCTTGTATCGCCTGAGCCATCTTTTCAGACGAGAGAAGAGATATTAAAACGTGACGATGGAGATGGTCGTGGGTTTAACCAGCATCATGGCGGTGAAGGAACCTCCTAAATCATTCATATAAAACTCAAACAGCCAGCTGGTTTTTCTATGTTTTTATTCTGTGAATAAATATCTGGGCCGCCTGCATTTGCTCAGTGAGCTGCAGCAGCTTTACATACACATGAAGAAGAAACAGAACGACACCAAACACGTTACATTCAGAATACTTTGGACTTGGATTTGGATCAGTTCACCTCATCCTACAATCACATCATCTTATTGCTACTAGTGTCAAAAATATTGGTGTTTTGTGCTTCCTTTAAGTTCCTTTTTTAATTTGAAATGTAAACTGGATGAACTGATCCAAACCTGAGGAAAAAACAAAAACTGTTTGTGGATTTTCTAAGTTGTGGATTACATTACAGACTGTCTGGTTCAGTTTGTTTGCTCAAAAAGAAGTAAAAACAGTCAAGCGTGCTTCAGACACACAAAAACACATCTGCTTTTCAAGTATGACTGCTCCTCCAAAATAAAAGCCTTTAAATTTGAACAGCAGAAAATGAGAGGATCAACAAAGAAAGCAGTTCACTGGTTGTTAAACGAATGCTGGATGTGTTTAATTCCAACTTTAACTAGCTTAAAATGCAGGATTAATTAAGATGTAGATCCGAGGACTTACATGTGGAATTTTCACGTCTACAGCAGGAAAGAAAAAAATAAAGTACTCAAGCAGTTTCTTTTAATTCTCCATTTAAATAACACTGCATTTAAATGTTGTTTGGGGGGATTTTACAATTTGTGTCTAGAAACTACAGAGGCTGTCGTCAGACACTGGTAGAATTACCAATAAAGTTTTAAAAAGAAGTTCAATGAGGAGAAAGATTAAGAACCATCTATAAGATATATAGATGATTTATGAAGTCAAAAGAAAAGTAAGGTGAA